GTGTGTGTGTGTGTGTGTGTGTGTGTGTGCGCATCTTAGTGCTAGTAAAACAAATTGTTTTTTTTTTTTTTTTTACTGAAAAATTATACATCAGATTTTTGTAATCTATATTTACTAATTTAAAAATTTACACGAGTTGATGTGCTGTTAAAGCTCAAGAAATGATGGACCCTACAATGACCCGCGGGCCTTTCCCCTGGCACTCTCGTGATGTCGGTGTACGAGCTGCTCAATTGAAACATCTTTCATCATCATCATCATCAACATCCAGTAGTAAATCTTTGACAGAAGAAAACGTTGGACTAGTTACAACAGCCGATGCCACTAAACAAGCTGCACCAATTACAAAAAAACGGGCATTGCTGCCTGTTACTCTAGAAGCTGACAAAACAGTATCAGCTGGGTATGTGTATTGGAATTACTTTTTAAACTCAGGAGCAGCTGTGATAATATCTTGCAAATGTTTCATTTTTCTCGATCTCTGTACTGGAGGATGATATGTTAAAGTAAACGTTGTGTGATGAAACTTTTGTTCTACTTAAGTACAACTTAATTAAGCTTTCTTGATTTTAATCAACATTTTGTAGTTTAATATCTTATCATAATCCTGAAAAGCCTTCAGGGAAAGGCATATAAGTGTAAAAATTGATCAGTCAGGAAAATAATGTTGAAACAAGTTTTTTTTTGTTTCAGTTAATGTAAGCGTGTAATTTTTTAAATATTGGGTATAGCTTGGTGTTGTAATCACTGTAATTGATCACTTAGAAGCAGTGTAGTATCATGTAAACTAATTGATTAATCCAATTTACGATAAAATCAATTAATCAAAACTAGTATTTGCGATTGCTAGTTTTTCAATTATTCCAACAGTTGATTAATTGAAATTACAATTACATCGATTGTCAACTAATTAAAACTGGGGTTTCTCATTATTCCAATTATTTAATTAATCACACTCCTACACTCAATTTGCTCACCCCATCTTTATTATGACAAAGCTAAAAAGGCTGTTTGCCACTGTTACTAATTTTGAACTGTTGAACAGAGGGAAGGTAACTGTCTGGCAGCAACTGCTGCCAACTTTGTTGTTGTTCTATTAATTGATTAATGGGGCTGTCACTTATCATATGAGCATGTGGTCAGTCTGACTGACCCCATATTGGAAAAATTAATATTTACTATGTGTATTTTCATGAAATTTGGAAATTACGTTTTTTTTCTTACTAGAATGACTGCAGGTTGTAACAGACAATTACGATTATTTATCCTAAAAGCTTTAGGCCTCTTTAACCTTTTCACAAATGTTTTAATTTAATTTTATTGTTTTATTACTTTTTTTGAACAAATCAATAAATTACCAGACAAGAGCTTAGCTTAACTTGCGGTAAACAGGGTATCAACTTACTTAATGCACATCACCGCTTGCGTACATACTTTGTGAAGAAATTTTTTATTTAATTATCTCATTTAAGCTTTCTTGCCTAATTTAATAAGATTTTAATTTTTATATTTTCGTTATTTTTATACCAATAACTACAAAATATGCATACAAAATTTATTACTTACTTGTGGGCTCTTGTACTCGATCATAAGTGTCTTGTTGAAACTTAAACCTATTTTATGGTAGAATTGTTTCTAGTATGTAAAAATTATTATTTTTCAAATTAAAATATTCAATTTAGATCACAAAATATTAATGCACAACAAAAGAAACAATGCCCTAAAACTGTTATAATTTAACTGTCTTTTTAATTAAGCTTGTAAGTCTATTGAAATAATTCCCCTTACATGGTTACGGTGATCTCAGCAATAGCAACAATAAAGCAATATTTTCCAAAACTGTTGTCAGAATAAGTCAGCCTTATACAGAAATCAGTAAATTAAAATTTTCTAGTTTTGTTGGTTAAATAATCCAATAAACAAGAAAATTGGAGGCTATAACAGAAATGTTTCTAGACACTAGCACGTGGGACCCATGCCCCGAATCCATACTTGGTGTCTTGAAAATCAGAATAGAAAACCATTATTGATACCATACTGAAATAGTGAAAATCCCTGCATCTATGAGCCCGAGTGACCATATAAGGGGTACAAAGAGGCTAAAATAGGCAATTCAGAGTGAAGATATGCCATGTAATACAGAGAAGTGAAGACTGGTGATTTATTTGAATATTTTATTTTTAAATAAAAATTTATATTAAAAATTTCGTTATAAACTGTTTTGATCCCAAATTTATTGACATACATTGGTAATAGACTTTTAATTAATTTTTTTTTTATCAAGTACCACTTTACATCCATTTCTGATATTCAGAGAATTTGTTAAGTCATGAGCATGTGTTTTATGTAGTTATTTAATTGTGTGTTCATAGTAAACTTCTAATGAGCATACGTTAACTTTCTGTCAGGGAATCAATACAAGTTTTGTGTAACACCATGAGGAGACAGATAATTTCCCGAGCCTTTTATGGATGTAAGTATTAAGCAGTTTATTTTATAAATACGTTTTGTTTGATTATTATTAAAAGAAACCATATTGATGACATGACTTCTCAAACCTAAATGTTTGCATTTTCATAGATATGGGTTTGTAAAATCTATCGGGTTCAAATTCAAGAACTCTTGCAGTATTTTCAGGAAATAAGAAGAGTGTATTGTAATACGTATCTGAAATAGACGTAACACAACTCACACTCAGAAAATACAGTGAATGTACTTACACACACAAAAGGACGGTCACTTCTACTAGACTGTGTTTAGTTCCACAGCTTTCTCTCCCTCAGGATTAAACTCCAAAGGTGATCTTCTCTTGGCAATCCCCTAGTACAACTAGGTAAAGAAAACGTGCCAGAATTCAAAATGTAAACTCTCTTTCCTTGTTCAGTTGACAGTGTCACTTCATGACCTTTGTTTCTTCACAGCATTGGTTGGATGTAACATTCAGTCAACTTCACAATCAGCCAGCAAAAGACACTCCAGTGTAATCCTTTTTAACCCGAGTGTTTACATATTACTGAAATATCCCCATGGGCAGAAGAGAAGCAACTAGAACAAGGTAGTTTTTAATGACTTTCTAGAAGAGATGTTGCTACCATTATAGAATGGAAACTTTCTGTATCACTAAAGAAGGTAAAAAAACTTATGCTGACATACTACATTGTCCTCACCCTTACACATGCAAATTGGTAAAAGTACACAAAATAATGCCACACCCTATTTTCAGGTATAAGTTGGTAAAGTACTTAAAATAATGCTGCACCCCCTTCACACGGGAGTCAGTAAAGTACACAAAATAATGCTGCAACCCCTTCACACGGGAGTCAGTAAAGTACACAAAATAATGCTGCACCCCTTCACACGGGAGTTAGTAAAGTACACAAAATAATGCTGCACCCCTTCACACGGGAGTTAGTAAAGTACACAAAATAATGCTGCACCCCCTTCACACGGGAGTTAGTAAAGTACACAAAATAATGCTGCAACCCCTTCACACGGGAGTCAGTAAAACACACAAAATAATGCTGCACCCCCTTCACACGGGAGTCAGTAAAACACACAAAATAATACCATCACTCTCTTCTGTAAAAGTAACATGAAGTCATGTCACTATCCTTTTCATATAGGAGCTGATAGTCATACCATCACTCTTGTAAAAAAGGGAGTGTAGAATAAGTGCGTATTTAAATGAATATATAAGCATATTTTTAATATTGAAAATCAACACATTCTTACAACTGAGCTAAGAGAAAACGTTTTTTATTCAAATATTAAATGGTAATATTAATATCAAAATAAATACTGAATAGCTTCAAGATATATTGGTTTACCTAAAGATTATGAGACAACTTTTCTGAACAATGAATACTTCTAACCTTTCGTTTTTGAGCAGTTTTTTTATATCTCTTTGTTGGAGACATGGTATTTGTGTTCTCAGTTTCATGTGGTTGTTTTTAAATAAGCAGAATGTTAATTCTATCTGCACCACCAAGTGGTTTCAGGTGCCAAAGTCACACTTGCATATCGTATTTAAAAAAATAATAATCTTATCTTTGTTTAGGCACAATTTTGCTCAAAAATACTTTAGAATTTATACTTTGTCATTTTGTAATTTGCAAAGAAAAATGTAAAAAAAAAAAAGGTTCAAACTTACATTTCTGCATTTATAAAACTGTTAGAAACTAAGATGCTAAGAAACTATCATATTTTGAGAACACAGTTAAGCGAGTTTTGTTTCTCTTGTAACTTTCCTTCTCTGTCTGAAGATTTATTGTTACAGGCCTCTGTTCACAAGTGCAGTCGTAAAAGGGTGCAAACAACAAGTAATGGAGAATAGCTATGAAGATAGCTATAGGCACAGTTTAAATATCATTGTATAGATCAGGTTATGAACTCTTCATGTCAATGTAAGGTGAATAAAGTGATGTGAGAAGTAATTTATGGTTTGTGAAACATTGAATAGATGTAATTCCTGCAAAGAAGAATGATGGAATATAACTGAAAGTTTAGACGACTTGAGAACAAACCAGAGATCTGGGAATTTTTCTATATTTTTTAAGACATTCTTTTCATTCCTGAAAATGTTTTGACGTTAAATTATATTCATTTGAATGTTATTAGATTTAAAGCAGTGATTCTGAATGTGGGGTACACGCCCCCACAGGGGGGTGCAGTTTGAAAATGCTACAATAAGAAAAATTAAACTCCTATTTTTATGGTAAATGTCTAAATTTTACATCATATTATTATATCTTTTCAACACCAAATTTGTATTTTTTATATTAAGGGGGCATCAAATTTTTTGAGGTGTCGAGGTGGGGCATGGAGCAAAAAAAGGTTAAGAACCACTGATTTAGAGAGTATGGTAACAATGGCAAATTATTCTGGTGACTCAAATTCTTGTTCATTGAATATTGTTGTTAAGTTTATTTTATTCAAACAATGCACGTAAATATAAGAACTTCTGTCTGAAATGAAAACAAAGTATCTTTGTTAGATTGATTTTGATCAGAAATGTTGTTAGCTAAAATATTGTTATGTAGCTTGACCTGACACCACTTTAAAAGGTCAGGTTCTAGGTCACTGATAAATCTTTTTCAGTTTAAGCAACGTTTTTCGATTTGTGGTCCGAAATAGTAATTGCTGCAGTCAACAAAATAAAGTTTCTAAATAGAAGTATTAATGAAAATCACAATTAAAAAATTAAAACATTACAACGAGAGGAAGTACTTGTAATGTTTTTTTCAAAAAGTTAGTCTCCCAGCAACATTTTAAAATTTTCATCACATAAAAATGATACAAAAACTAAATGAATTTGTTTAAACTCAAGATAGATACTATATGATAAGTTTATGTAAGTTTCATGCAATTTGGTTAAATATTTCAATTGTGAGAAGGAGAAAAAAAATCCAAGGGATACCAATTTCACTAACCATTAAAAAGCTGTTTGTTTGTTGTTTTTTTTTACATGTAGGGCTTGCTCACTGTCGTCACCTGCGTACAGTCCGTACTCACCTCTCTGGGCTGGTAAACACGGCGATTGTGTCGTATAAGGAACCAACCAATGCAGCTTTAGGACTAACCTCAGAGGTGTGGAAGAACCTCCAGGGAAGTGGCTGTGTAAGAGAAGCCACTGAAATCTACAGATTAACTTACTTTGGTGGAATAGAGCACAGCATCAGAAAAGAGGTAGAAAGTAGTGTAACGTTAATTTTCTGCTAACTTCAACACTTGTCCGAAAGATTTAAATAGCTTTCTTCTACCTATTATAATCGCTTTTTTTTTTAGTTTATGGAGGTTTTCAATTAAAGCAGGTTTTTAATTTGAAGTACAGTTCTCCAACTAAGCCTTCACATGAACTATATTCAAAAGTTTCAACTTAGGTATTTTTTTGAATAGTCGCAAAGCATTTGAACCAAGTTTCGCATCAGTGTCTGACACATACGTGTGTGTGCGAGATAATAATGTTTGTTAAGTGATTTTATCGATTTTGTTTTTACTCTACACTTCAGCAAACTTTAGATACAATCTAATATACCTGTGTTCCTCAGTTTTTGGTTTTTCATTCAAATTTAGAGGTTGACAATTCTTCATGTTACGAATGATTAGTTAAACCATGCTAGAAGTGTGAACAATAGTTCTTCAACAAATGTACCTAGATATGAAATAAAACCTTGCTACTGAAACAAATTTATTAGTTTGAAAAATGGGTGATTTTGTTTGTATAGGTATGGCCTTTCTTGCTAGGCCATTATCAGTTTGATAGTGCTCCTGAAGAAAGGCAGGAACATGACAACAGCATAAGGACAGCATATGAGAGAACCATGTCAGAATGGCTTGCTGTTGAAGCAATTGTTCGGCAGCAAGACAAAGAAATCATGGCAGCTAACTTAGCCAAGCTCTCCTCGGAAAGTGCCAACAGTGAGATACCTCTTGTAGGTAAGTATTTACTCCTTTCCAAAGTAAAGGTTCTCTTTTCCAGGAATAAACCTAGTCCTGTCTAAGGTAAAGGTTCTCTTTTGCAAGAATAAACCTAGTTCTGTCTAAGGTAAAGGTTCTCTTTTGCACGAATAAACCTAGTCCTGTCCAAGGTAAAGGTTCTCTCTTGGAGGAATAAACCTAGTCCTGTCTAAGGTAAAGGTTCTCTCTTGGGGGAATAAACCCAGTCCTGCTCCTGGTAAAGGTTCTCTCTTGGAGGAATAAACCCAGTCCTGCCCCTGGTAAAGGTTCTCTCTTGGAGGAATAAACCCAGTCCTGTCCCTGGTAAAAGCTCTCTCTTGGAGGAGTAAACTTAGTCGTGTGTCTTTAAGAGCTTTACCTTTGGTGCAAAAACTCTCCAGGCTTTAGCTGGTTGTCAAAGGCTTATTTTGAGCTTGTTTTATCTCGCATGGTTTCCCCCTTGGTAAGTGAAATCTTTTGAGGACCATTGTGTTTATTTAGAAATTGATTTTCATACAATGTAACTTGGACAATATTTTTTTCTCCCAAGTAACAAGTAGTCTTAAAAATGAAATTTCTTTATGCTCATATTTGATCACCTGTAATAAACTTAGCATTGCTATATATTAGATAAAATTTATTAAGTCCACCTTTTATCTAAAACTGAAGTAGATATTTTTTTTATAATATCGATACGAAGGACCTAAAGATGCCAACTTGAGTAATGAAGTGTTTGAAGATATTAGTCCTGAAGGATCATTTGAGGAACCTAATGAAGAGGACATTCTTGAAGAAGAATCTGACATGAGACAGGTATCTATCTGATTATCTTCCTAACATTATTAAGTAGAGATTGTTAGCAGTACATATATTGTGTTTCTTGTGTAGTTTATCTTTCATGCTTGTATTGTAACATGTTTCTCAGAGTGTCTAACTTTTATGCAACTTTACGTGTTATTTAAACGGCTGTGGAAGTAAGAAATGTTGAAGTCTTGTAATAATGTATGTGATTCGTGCATAAGAACATTATGTAAGTTATGAAAGTTTTTCGAGGTGAATATGAAGTTTATTTTATGGAGAAAATAGCGAATCTTTTCCATCTAGTTGTATCATTTCGATTGTTCAAGTTGGATTTTCAGCAACATGAGGAAAAAAGGCATTACAATTTAAGGTTCATAATTAAAACAAATAAAACTAGAGAGACTCTTTTATTCAATCAATTTTTCCATATCATTGATTAATTTAATTAAAAGTATTAATAGATTGATATTAAATATTTATTTAAATAAGACTGATGGGCTCAATTTTTCTACTAACATTGGCTTTAAGTTATGAATTACGTGTCCTTCACATTTAGTAAGGTTACATCGTATTGTTGATTTGCAAATAATCTTATTGAACATAGAACACAGACTAACTTAGATGCATGCATACACATCTGTATGAAATTGTAAAACTTCCATCTGCAATAATTTGCGTAACGTGCTTGTAAACTTTGATAAGTTTTCATTCAAGATTGTATTCATGTTTTGCTACTCTAGAGTTCCCGAGAAGCCTTTTCATCAAATGAGGAAAAGTACTCAAAAACAGGAGAAGATGATGATTCACAGCCTGTTTCACCTCCATCTATGAGAGGACGTTTAATAAGGCATCGTCAAGGTAAGTTAAGAAATAAGGCATCTATAAAATAACTCGTAACCGTCAAGGGAAGTTGCGACATATCTAAGAGGCTCAACCGGTTTCTAAAAGATATGATTTTATCTCTGGCAATGAAACATTACACTCATCATTTACAAATAGTCATGCAGTTGATACTACAAACTGTTGGTACATGGTGAAATTCCATAATTAACAAATTGAGGAAAACAACAATTGCATGTTTCACAAATATTTCGGTTATTAGGATCGTAATTTACCCGTAAAGGCATCATCAGGTAGAGACTGAAACAGTTTGCAAACAAGTATAAATATGTTTAATCAAAGAAAACTAAAAAGCTTGAGAACCTTAGAAATGAACAAAGTCTTAAAAAGTAATCCAGACAATAATCTTAATTTAAACTTCTTACCTCGTAGTGGATGTTGAGGTTACCGACCATTTTCTTTCTGTTGTTAAACATATTTATACCTGTTTTCAAGCTATTTCAATCTGATGACGCCTTTATAGGCAACACTATGGTAGTAATAAACTGTTTTACTCAATTCTATAAGTATTCATCTGTGATTAGTGTGCACGTGTATTTAATATTGCAAGGATTTTCCTTGACGAAAATCCAAGTTATTTTCAAGTCATCCAAGTTTTTGTTATTGGAAAATATCTTATTTACTGTGGTTTAGCCTTGGTTTTATAATATCAAGGTTGTTTTTTTATCCTTAAGAAAAGAATGGGTTGTGTTACTCAAAATAATTAACCAAAAATTTTATTTTCTTCTCTAGTGGATAGTCAAAGTATTGTTATAACAAATCCTTCGGTAGACTTCAGTAGTACACAACTGGAAGTTGAGGGTGCTATTTACAAGAACGATGATGGTGAGGCTGATCTATCACAAGCTGAAGAGTTCATCAGAGATGAATTGTTGCCTGGAGACTATGGAGATGGAGGAAGTCAGCTTTCTGGAGATTCCAGGTCAAGCTGTGTTTCTCCAGTTTCTTCAAGTGGTGGAGTCTACTCGGTACGTAAACTTAAGAATGAATGTTTTAATTATCCACATTATTGTTTTTCACTGACTTTCTTTAATACCTCTAAATGAATTGAAAGAAATAGATAAAATGGCATGAATTTATGTTATATACTGGTATAAAGGCTTTTCCTTACCCACCAGATGGAGCTTTTAGACCTATTCTCATTGAACCTCCATAGGATTGAAAAAGATGTCCAAAGATGTGACCGAAACTACTGGTACTTTACCAACGAGAACTTAGAAAAGCTCAGAAATGTGATGTGCACGTGAGGAACTTTGTGTGTTTTTACAGAATGTAATCTAGTAAAATCTTTGTAACTTACTTTACGAGCATTACTGTTTCAAATCTGTAAACCAGTTTTAAGTTTTCTTTCAAGTACGTGTTTTACTGTAATGGGTTACAAATTTTTTGACTGACATTATATTTCAACGTTTTGAGATAGCTGCTGTAACCAATCTAAACTTTCTTTATCAGCAGTGTGTTCAACATGTTTTCTTTGTGCTTCCAAACTGTCAGCTCTTCTGACTGCTCTCAAATGCAGAGAAGCTTTCCTGTTATCATAATATTTTCATTTTTGTTTTGCTACTTTTTTCACATGCTTTTAGGTAATATTTGGTGCTCTGTCCTGGGAAAGGATTTAGTTTGGAGCATTAAACTTCTTCTTGATCTTTAGACTAAGCATCCAACTCCAAGTAAGTAGCTAAGTTTGGCTACTACCAGACTATGTGACTGGTTCGTTATAGGTTGATACTCAGCTATAGCTTGAGGTGTTTGTTTTTGAACCCTTAATTGTATTCAGTACAACTCATGTTCGTTCTGATTTTTCCTGTATAAAAATTACATTTAGTAAATGTTATTTTTTAGCTCAGAGCTACACAATGGGTTGTCTACATTATGTTATATATACTGTAAGTAAACAAACCTCAGATTTTAGCATTGTATATCCTTAAATTTATTGCTGATCTACCAGCAGTAAATATAGAACTGTAGAGAACAATTTAAGAAGTTGCAGTTTCTCACTGCAAGTTTATAACTTTAGGGGAGGGGGGCATATTCCTGATTATAAGGTTAAAAAGACAGTTTTAGAATATAGTACAAATGCAAATAATGAGTCTTTTTTTTTTTTAAATATTGAATGTTGCACGAGTTTGATACAGTTTTCGTTTCTTACATCATTACAGCTTATTTCTGATTACTGTGGTATTAACAAAAGATTCATTTCTACTTCAGGTATGTGTGGGAACATTTAGATGTCGGCTATGTCCAGGGAATGTGTGATTTGGTGGCGCCTTTACTAGTGATCTTTGATGATGGTAAGTTTTTAATGAACCAAGAACAACATTTCTTGCGCTCCGAATAGGTGATATTTAATAAAGCTAGACAAAAAGCTAAGTACTCTGTATGATATTATTTTGGTGAAGAATCATCCAATGTAGCTTTACTTTTGTACATATGACATACTCTTGGATCATTTACCACTTTAAAAAAACTATGCAGCTGGGGGTATATTAATTTAAACAACCAATAGGGGTTGAATTTGTTAAACAGAACTACAATATTGAACTTCATTTGATGTCAGAGAGAAATTCCCTTAAGGTCTTTCCATTAACCCAACTAGTAGTATAGAGGTCTTGCACTGACATCTTGCTTTCCAGTGTCTCAGCAGTAAGTCCAAAGGCTTATGATGCTAAAAAAACTGGGTTTCGACACCCGTGGGAGGCACAACATTGTGTAGCTTCGTGCTTAACAACAAACCAATGAACAATATCAAAAATATCATGTGGTCTATAATCTACTCTGCCATATTGGACTTTATGTATGTATATTCCTATTAGATGAAAAATTTATCGTCTAGTATATGGTTATCTAATGCCGTAAATTATCTATCTGTATGCTGCTGTTGTTATGGGAATTAGTTCCATGTCTAGTGACATTTTTTATTGTCGGGAATGATTTGGAACAAAATAAGTAGTTGTGTTCGATTGAGGGTAATTAAATGTGATTCTATCTTTCATTGTTAGGAGAACTTTTAGTGAATGAATTATTATTTTTTCATTAAGTGTCAGCAGTTGGTTGAAAAAGAATATGGGGAAGATGTTCTAGATAATGATGTTTAGCAAAGTTGACAACAGTTTATCGTTAACTACCTATATATCTCAATAAACCTCCTCCTTCCAACAGATCTCCTCAACTAAATGGGTTTGTACAAACAAACTGAGATGAAGCCTCACCTATAATACGTGGTCATAATAAGTGATTTTAGAATAGCGTTTTATTGTTTGAACCGATTCAAAGACTAAACGTATTTTGTAACTACTTTGTTTTAACATCTGTTAAGCCTGTAAATAAAAGTAGTCTGTACAACTTTGAAAAATTTTAGAATGGCGTTTTATTGTTTGAACCGATTCAAAGACTAAACATATTTTGTAACTACTTTGTTTTAACATCTGTTAAGCCTGTAAATAAAAGTAGTCTGTACAACTTTGAAAAAATTATCGTTCCTGAGACCTGATGTGTGGTTTCCTCAACAGAGGTGTTGTCATACAGCTGTTTCTGTGAACTTATGAAAAGAATGGTGGCAAACTTTCCCCATGGTGGAGCCATGGATGCACATTTTGCCAATATGAGGTCCCTTATTCAGGTAAATGAAACTATTATGACAACTGTTCATGAATTAAAGTCTTTAGAATTACATGATGTTGTTGTAAAGCTGGAAAGAAGCAAACTTCATGTTCGTTGGTTTCAGTTTTGTTTTTGTAACATTTAACAACTGAAATTAAACAGAATGTGTCACTTCCTTATATACTTTATTGTACGATAAAATTATCTAAATAGCTTAATTAATATTAGAAGTCTTAACATGTTTTTTTTTAGTTGCTAGAATTAACCACCAACAACACTGAAGTAGCCTGAATGCACTACCAGGTAGATATCTTGTGGTTCAATTTCTTTTATAGAGTTTGGTAACAAAAGGAAGGTGTTTATTTCTTGTGTAAAAAATCTGTAGAATTAGATATAGATCCGAAACAAACTTGTATTATAGATATTGGACGGAGAAATGTTTGAGCTGATGCACAAGAATGGTGACTATACTCATTTTTACTTCTGTTATCGGTGGTTTCTGCTTGACTTTAAAAGAGGTAAGGCTATCGAACGTTCTATTTTCTGAGCAAAGTTTATGTTTTATTGATGTAGAATATCTCTTCATGAATAATGCAATATTTCTATTTTTTACAGAGTTAAGTGTATTCTAAAATGCCTGTGTATTGTAACCGCAGATTGAAAATGAGATTAAGAATAGTGAGAATTATTTCATTAGAAATTATTAGAGCTAACAACCGACTCATTCTGAGTTAGTTTTACTGCGGTAGATATAACTAGTTGGTCCTTACCAAATCAGGTTACTTGTTACTGATCTTATTGCTGAAATTTATGCTGACTTTGGATGCATCACACTCTTTGATTTATATTACATTATCATTTTCTTTTCTTATTAACTTAACAGTTTGTTTGATGACAAACAAATGAAACCCTTTACATATAAATAGAAACAAGATTAAGTTACCTTGTAGAATAATAATCTTTGGTGGGTATTAGATTTAATATTATGTTACAGTCAGAGTAAAAGTAAATTTAGATCGCACGTTTCTTCACTGGCCCATTATGGGTTTCGGAAAGCAGACAGGGTATTTCCAATTACTGCTACTACTAATAATGCTTGGAGATGGCTTGAATGGGTAATGAAGAAAAACTTTAATATAAGTTTAACATAACAGCAAATGTACAATGTTTCGACAAGGTTATGTTAAACTTATTAAAGTTTTTCTTCATTACCCATTCAAGCCGTTTCCAAGCATTATTAGTCTGAAAGTGAGTTCCTCTGCATCGAATTACTGCTACTGTTGACATGTGCAGCTCAATACTGGAGGTCATCAAGTCGGATGAAAAACAACATACGCATTCCTAGAAGAAACTGTTGTCACATCAGTTATTATAAGGATGATTAATGGTATTACATGTACTTTACTGATAAGAATTTAACTTGTTAACTTCTAGAACTTATCTACGATGATGTCTTCAGTGTGTGGGAGACTATTTGGGCTGCCAGACATGTTGCTTCGAGCCATTTTGTTCTATTTATTGCATTAGCCATGGTGGAGTATTACAGAGATATCATCTTAGACAATAACATGGATTTTACGGATGTCATAAAATTTTTTAACGGTAAGTTTTTATAATCTGACATCTACTAGTAAAGAAATAGAATTGCAATAGTAACAGGCAGCTTTTATTACACTTCTTATGAAATGTACCATGAAATCCATTTTAGTAGAAACTTTCACCTAATTAATCCAGTTTGAAACATTGTTTTGGCTTCGGCTAAAGCCAGTAAACACCAGTAGGTCACAGTTTGTAACTAGTGAAGCTTTTAAAGACCTTGAGGTTTCAGCTAAAGCTAGCACACACCAGTAGGTCACAGTTTGTAACTAATGAAGCTTTTAAAGACCTTGAGGTTTCAACTAAAGCTAGCACACACCAGTAGGTCACAGTTTGTAACTAATGAAGCTTTTAAAGACCTTGAGGTTTCAGCTAAAGCTAGTACACACCAGTAGGTCCCAGTTTGTAACTAGTGAAGCTTTTATAGACCTTGAAGTTTCAGCTAAAGCTAGCACACACCAGTAGGTCCCAGTTTGTAACTAGTGAAGCTTTTATAGACCTTGAAGTTTCAGCTAAAGCTAGCACACACCAGTAGGTCCCAGTTTGTAACTAGTGAAGCTTTTATAGACCTTGAAGTTTCAGCTAAAGCTAGCACACACCAGTAGGTCCCAGTTTGTAACTAGTGAAGCTTTTAAAGACAAAGAAATTTCACCAGACAAACGTCAAAGTCTGGGCATTCCTGTAAATTACTAGTTCTTTTACCTCTCCATCTCTCAACAATATGAGATTGTTGATTTGAATAAATTGAATGTCATTGTTCAGTAGCTTCATTTAAAAAATATTCCTAATAAGTATACTTGAACATCTTATGGCTGTATCATGTCCAAACTTTATTGAATAAAACTAATGATTCTCTGGTTCTTTATTTGTTCTAGAAGTTATAGTTTTTATGATGCAGTCATTAGAAAGTGGGTGTTTCCTTTATAATCTCCCCCCTGTTTCTCAGTCATTTTTTAGATTAGTAGGACCATATTTACTTAATCTGTTGATATTCATTTTAACTAAGTAGCAACCATTTGTGCTTCTTTACAGAAATGGCAGAAAGACACGATGCTAAAGCAGTGCTAAAGGTAGCTCGTGATTTAGTGCACCAAATTCAAACTCTGATCGACAATAAGTAGGTTTTTTGTTATTTGAACTGTAAAACTAAACCAAATCCAATAGTTATCTGTATATTAAAAGAAATGAATTTAAATACTTACAACGTTTTAATTTTGGTAGTGTTGAAAGATTAGAAAAAAATAAGATGAAAATGTGTTACATCAGGTTTTTAAAGTATGAGTTAGATTTATGTTGTTGTTTTTTTTGTAATAATAAACACTGGAGATATATGATGTTTTAGCATAAAATGCAAATAAGGTAAATTTATGTTCTTGATATTATCAATAAGATCTGATGACTCAGATTAATATAACCTTTTTTTTTAATCGCTTTTTTGCTGTATACTTCCATTTCTCTATCATATATGCACTGATTGTTTACGGTTCCTTTGATAATTTACTTTTGTCAAGAATTTCTGTATGTTAAACAGGATGGGACAAATTAGAAGTAAAACTATTGACAAACTGTCTGGGCTTCTCAAACCTAAAGTCTTTCACCTAATGTCTAGAAACTGTGAAAGAATGGGATCTGTATAGGAAAAAATTTTCTCAAAAACAAATTGATTTAAAATATTAACAATTAAAAAAATCCGTATTAATTTGACTACGTAATTTTAGGTCTTTAGTTATGAACATTTCTTAAATATTTCCAGACCTTCCAATATAGAAAATATTTGATTTTATAAAAGGATACTTTATAGCTTTTTTTTACTTCTTGAGCCTGTGTTATACACTTGGTTACAATGTTTTGATTATTTTTTAACAGCTTATTAGAAATTTTCCACACTGTATTTTGTAAGAAGAAAATCTCTTCTGATAGCTTCTCAGGTCTGTTTAAATATAGAATTTGAATACTTGGTGGTAGGTTAGTGATGGTAAATAATTAGGCAAATTCAATCTCAAAACAATTTCTTATATTTTAATGAAGAAGACAACTAAGAAGATAATTTATGAAATTTTGTGAATTTTATAGATAGTATTGTATTGAAAGTGTTTGTAATATATACATACAATATTTTAACATAGTTGTTATTCTTTAAATATCTACTTAACTGTTTCTTTCAATGCGTATTTTGATTAATGTCAAATGGAGTTGAAAATATCCGGAGTATTCCAGATATTCCAGCTATTGTTTTCTTTTTACATCATTGCCCAGCATTTTTTAAGATTTATCATTTAAAAATTAAGCTTGTTTAAACAGTACGTACTTTAACTGTGTTTTCTAGCCTTGAGCATATCGGTAAGAATTAATCCATGTTAATAGTTCAAAACCTTAAATGTATTATCCACACTGCATTTATACACCTAAAGGATTGGAACTTGTTGCCATACCAACAGGTCTTGAAAATGTGTTTTTCTAGTGTTGTGTATATTTTTTGAAAGAAGTTGTAAAATGTCAGAAAAGAAAATGGTGCAATATTATCCCGTGTATATATAAAAAAAAAACTTTAATGTATTTTTTCTTTATTTCCAAAAAACTGAAACTGGTTGGAACGTCTTGTAGGACAACAACAAAAATTATTTTAAAGTTTGAAACACTATATTGCACGATCTTTTTACCAGATTGTAATATTACTACTTAATATCGGTTGCTGTAAGAGACTAACAAAAATATTTATAGCGAATGCTTTTTTTTGCATTGTCTTGTTAGTAAAATGTTTTTAAACATATTTGCATATACACACAAAGTATATTAATATCAGTCGGTCTGTTTTATTACACAACTAAACTGCAGCTATTCAAACAATTTGCTTGTACACTGTAAAATAAAAATTTTAAATTATTCAGTAAATTAATATTTATTACTTTTGACATTTGTTTTGGTTTGCCTAGTATGTTTGTGTATTTTGATCCAAATGGAAATCTATTTGAGGAATTAGAATTTGTAAGTGTAAATAACAAGTTGTAGGACATGGTCACCATCTAAAAATACAATATATCAAGGTATATTTTTATACTTCTAAAGATTTGCATTTCATACATTAGGATTGGTTTTCATTTGAAATGGTCGTTTTATAAAGAAATAATTTGGTTTTCTTTGTTCCATGCGTGTGTGGACTAAGCCTGTTTCATGCTATACGAGTTAAACTAATAAAACAATGTAGTTACTTCAGTAACTTTCACACCACTTAATCATATTTATCTTATACAAGTTAAAGTTATTCCCAATACTTCTAAGTTTTGGATAATTTCCAAACTGTGTATATGGGAATAATGCCAAGTCGTATTCAGTGTGGTTTGCTTTGAACAGATTTGTATTAGCAAAACAATTATCTCTGCTATATAACCACTCAATCTGCGTATACTAAAGGTGTTTTTAACAATCGTAACTTCTTAAATATATAAGGAAGTGGCACATATGCGTGTGTCTATATGATCGTATGCGTGTGTCTATATGATCGACTGTGAAGAAAAAAAAAACTGAAACTTAAACTTTGTGTATTATTCTCCCATGACTACAGAAGTACAGGTTTTACGTTCTCTACCTCCTCCGGGGGAACAAACAGCTTTCAATTTACTAATTATTTTGAAGAGTGGAGCTAAGACTATTTCCGTTTCTTGTCTCTCATATTACGTTATAGGGAAATGATCCCATTATTTAAGGTTATCTCTCTTTGGATGTGGAGTGGAATGGGAGGCTACTGCAGTTAATAAGTCATCTCAAGAAACATCCACAGATTAGCTTGGTATTGTTATCTTATTATTCTTTAGACAGGTCCATAAAAATGTTTCATTTACCTTGCTATGTAGTAGTTAATATAGAAAGTACCGTACCTTTCGTTATTGAACAATAGAAGGTGACAGAAGCTTATGTAAGTTGGCAATTGTTTTTGTATTTTATAAATGTAGAAGATTCAAATAGATTGCAAAAACTGTTGTTGATGTAACGTAAAAAAGTTGTCATTAAAGCGTATTTTGAAAAAAAAAAAGTTACGTTCTTGTTTATTGCAAGTAATGCAGTCTTTTTCATCAAACGAAAGAAACTTTTTGTATAATTTTATACGATCCTTGTAAAATAATATCTTGTAATGGATTTCTGCCCAAAATAATGATGCAAATACCACATTCTCAAGGCATTTATTCTTCTATACACTAAATAGAAACAGTTCCAAACATATAACTTCCTGACTTTAAGTCCTTAAATTTCTGGACTGATCATATTCAAATCACAAATTCCCCTAACTTGCCTATAAAATGTTTGACATATAAATAAACTTCATACAATTACAAGCAGCTAGTTGAATGGTATTTCACTCGTTTTTTTTCACATGAAGGAGAAAAATATTAATCATAAAATATAAATATTGGAACTTGAAAAGAAAATCATGTTTAATTATAGTAGACCAATTATTTGTTTAATGTAAACCCCAATTCCAGAAAAGTAGCAAAATAGCATTTTCAATGCATGTCAGCTGGATACTTTTTTTTTTAATGATAAATCATGATTCTGGGATTTGGGATGATAGATGACTTTATACATAAGTGTATAACAATATATTGGATTTTATCTTTTCACTGTATGGAAACAAGAGAACTTCACTGACTTGTGTGCCTATACATGTTTTCCATTCCACTAGTAAGAGGAAAATAGAGCTAAAAATGTATTTCTCTACATATACAACCACCCAAGGCAACCAAATGACAACACTGTTACTTGGTGTGTGTATGTGTGTGTGTGTGTAAAAACCTTGGCCAGCAAATAATAAATATCAAAAGGTGAAAGAACTGGTGGTAAAAAAACAAACAAACCATCTTATGGTTTCGAAAGGTTACTGTACAAGATTTCAGTTCTAAAAATCACTTCCGCTAGTATGAAATACTTCTTAAATCTAACATTCATCACAAGTTTTAACAAGAACAAGTAACACCATATCAGTGATGCAAGTAATGAAGGTAGCTGAACTGCTACAGCTATAAAAAAAAGGGGCATATACCGTGCAGGGAAGTCATCAACCTGCTCTGATATGTGCAGGGAAATGTGAGGTCACTCGAGAAAAAAGGACTTTTATGTAAGAAGCACTGATTATTTCCACAAATGTGTCAGCACTTTTATATCACTAATTACAATTATTATTCACATTCATTGATGTGTCGGGAGAAATTTTAGGTTTTTAAGATGTGTTATCTGGGTAGTGAGCTAACCTCTGTAGGATGTGGAGTTTCATTTTGTTTCTCTTTATTAAAAAATTTATCGTGGGAGTTCTCCAGGTGGGCCACAGAGTTCGGTCCCAGCTTGGAACTAACCAGGGGGGAAGACCCTCGACTACTACGCTGCACCACGTGGGAGGGATTCTGCAGAGAGTTACAATCTGTGGAGCAGGGAATGAGGGGGGGAGGAATGGCACTGACAAAATTAGCAGGAGAGCCATTTTTAGTCATTCCACTATTCATATAACCTGCAGAGCTTGGATGACACTTTCCACTTGAGGAGGGAAGAACCAACGGAGATGGAAAGTGAGAGTCACTAGACCGCAGCGGTGGCGGGGGAACGAGTTTTGTACGGTCAAGAGAATGTTTCTCTCTTTCGTATAGTAAAGTATGGTCCCCCTCTCGAAAGAAGTTGTATCCACTGGAAGAAGCTGAGAACTGTCGAGAAAATTCTGGCTCTCGAAATCTCTCTTGGAACATCACAGAATTAAGGGCAGCGTACCTCTGGAAGAATTGTTCCCTATCTAGGTTACGTGGAATAGTAAAATCAAATGGTTTATACAGCTCTCTGCGACTACTAGAACTATGAGTAGGAGCAGTGGTGCCTGTTATAGTGGAACACGCAGAAGGATTGGCAGTCATCCTTTCGGAACTTGATCCATCTTGCGCTACACCAATCCCCTCAACCGGCCGAGAACGGTCGACCGGTTTTAGCGTTGTGGGACCTACTGATTTCATCATATAGTTCCCACCATGTTCAGACTTGGCTGGTTCTAGAGATCGTATTCTATCACGTTCTGAGATACCCGCAAGTGACGTAGTTGCCAAAACACTAGGTGTGCGTGACAGATCTTCTTGAGGCTTTAGTTCTTTTACTCTTGACTCCGGTTTTATGAGGAAACCTGCGTTATCCAAGGCACTATCCTTCTTTACTTCTCTACCTTGACGTACAGGAGAACGAGAACTCTCTCTATCTCTTCGATCCCTAGAATTTTCCAAATCTCTCTCTCTATTTCGACTTCTTTCTATTATCTCTCCATTTGGAAAGTTTTCCATGCTGTTTACTTGATGAAAAGTTCGATTTTCCCTTTCCCTACGATTTAATATTTTTGGTTAAACAACACGTAATACAAATATTGAAATCAAAAACAATCAAATCACTAAATAAATGTTTCTTATTATAAAATTAAAAAAAAAGAGATACAGTTTTTACTAAAGCAATGCCTTACCTAGCCGTATTGCATTACTATAATAGTGTAGTGACCTTACCTAGCCATATTGCATTACTATAATAGTGTGGTGACCTTACCTAGCCGTATTGCATTACTATGATAGTGTAACGACCTTACCTAGCCATATTGCATTACTATGATAGTGTAACTACACTATTATAGTAATGCAATACGGCTAGGTAAGGTCACCCGTAGTGACCTTATCTACCCATCTACTGTTCCTATGATAGCATGAATTGACCTTACCTAACCAGTGCCTTGCAAAAGTATTCACCCACCACCCCTCCTCCAAAGTTTCCACATTTTGTTGCCGTTTCAGCTTACAATCAGGAAAGTTTCAAATGGGACTTTATATTTAGAAACTACATAATCTACTCCAAACTGAGAAAACTAAAACACATTGATATTATGTAAGTAAGTTAGATTTTCAAAAAAAATTAGAATATTCTCAATTGCATAAGTATTCAATCCCTTTGCAACAGCAACCCTAAATCAATTTTGGTGCAAAAGATCAGTTTCAAAGGTCACAAAATTAGTATA